ACTCCATTGATAGTGTTGGAACAAGTTTCAGTACTTTGGTTCGGTTTTTACACTTTATGAGTTTATGTTTTCCGCATTGTAGTTGTAATAACCTATTGTTCACTACATTATAAACTTTACAAATGGTACCAGAGCTTAGGCTAGTAGTATAAAGTGCTTAAACAACCTGAAAATCGGATTGGAAATTGAAGGGGTTCGATTTGGGTCGAAAACTAGTGAACCCGAAACTTCAAACCCATTTTCTAGACAAATGACACATCTGGTGGACAAACGGAGACCACCACCAGAATCCAGAAGACAACTAGAACCTGGAGGTGCAGCGCGTGTAACACACGCACCGTCGTGGAGGAGGCGCGTGAACCCACGCGCAGAACACACGCCGCGTGTGAGGGCGCGTGAGTGGGAATTTGGGGAAGGTAAAAAGAGATAGTTTCTTCCCTGTGAAATTTTGGACCTTCTGGTGGTCCTGGATTTCAGTTTGGTGCACTGTGGAAGAATTTATAGCCTCGGGCAGAAACTTGAAGTGGAGAAAGCTTTTCCGTTGGCGGCTCGGTGGTGTTTCCTAGTGTTGTAGCAACTGTTGGACAACTTGGGGCAGTAACTGGAGGCCCTGGATCGATAAAATACGAACCAAATCTTGGTTCGCACCAAATCTTGGTTCGCTTGGCTTGCGCATTCTAACGCCCTCTCGAATTTATAATTGAGATATTGTGTTATTTGCTATCATGTTGTTATTTGACTCTTGTGGTATTGTCTATATGTTACTTGTTATGATATCATTGCCTGTGTCATCTTGAAAAGTAATTTATACGTAAATTGGTTTAAGCTTGCATTTGTGTGTGGGTAAATTGAGTAAGTAAAACTTTTTCGAAAAACGTTATTTGTCTACCATGGCCTCTCGAGTTGAATTGGCACAATTCAATGGTAAGGGAGATTATTCCATTTGGAAGCAAAAAATGAAAGCTATATTAATCCAACAAAAGGTTTCTAAAACTCTTGACGACCCGAAAAAATATCTTGATGCATTAAAAGCTAAACCGGAT